TTATGACTGAAGAATTGAATTATAAATTTCAATTAAATAGTCACATGTGCTACTGGCTACCATATGGGATACTGCAGGTCTAGAATGCATGTTGAAATAACTGGAGCAGTGGACAAGTATGATTACTATGTCCTCATGCCCCACCTCTTCCTCAAGCTATTCAACTCTTACTCACAGTAGGATACAAGTCAAGTCTCATTTCCTCCATGAAGATTTCCCTGACCACTCTAACCCACGTGGATGTCTTTCTTCTGTGAACTCCTAGACACTTAACTGTTGTAATGGAATTTAGTGCCTGATTATACCTTGTACAAAAGTTTAATTTTAACGTATGTAAGTTTTAGCATAAAACAATACAAATAATACTAAAAATATAATAATACTAAATATAAAAATACTAAAGCGTTAAACACTTTACACATATTTTATTTCATTTTCATAATAGGCCTTTAAAGTATGTATTATATTACCTATGTAGGCTCAAAGAGATGATGCAACTTGCTCAGATCAAACAGGCAGTAAGTGGCAGAACTCAAACTTGAAACCAGGTCTATGACTCCAGTCTACACAGGTAGGACTTTGTTAGAGGATGTAGGGTCATATAAGGTACTTTGGTCTGGTGGGATTATTGAAAGCCATCATAACAAACCTAAGCCTGTCTGAGAAAATTACTTACAGCTTAGTGGGAATAAAAGATGGGAATTCAATTTAAATTACAAGAGTATTTCATTTATAGTCAAAGACCATTCCAAAGTTCTTCCATCGTAGACTAGACATATTACTTTCTCGAAGACCAGTTGCTCCCTCTAGTGAGAAGCAATGGGAATACTATACCCATTAAGTATTTAAAGGAGAGCTTCCCAGCAGGAGCTGTGCCTCCCTTAGGGATCTCTTGGGAATTTGTGGAGGTGTGTTTTGGTTATAACAAAGAATGCAGGTAGTTACTGGCTTTCATTAGGTGGGATCAGGAATGCTAGATATCAAGCAGGAAGTCCTTATCAACAAAAAATTGCCCCACTTCCGAGAGGGAAAACTCACATTTATTCATCTGTGCCCGGAATTTAACATTATTTTACATATAAAAACAAGATATGTTCCCACTGTTTTACTATGCAATTAATTTTCCAGGAAGAAAACTACGGCATTTCATCTAATTTAAGACATTATCAGCTGTCAAACATAAACATTATTTATTTATTTTTGTGTTTTTGTTTTTGAGGAAGATTAGCCCTGAGCTAACATCTACTGCCAATCTTCCTCTTTTTGCAGAAGAAGACTGGCCCTGAGCTAACATCCGTGCCCATCTTCCTCTACTTTATATGTGGGACGCCTACCACAGCATGGCTTGCCAAGCAGTGCCACGTCTGCACCCAGGATCCGAACCTGTGAACTCTGGGGCACCGAAGCAGAACGTGTGAACTTGACCACTGCACCACTGGGCCAGCCCCCATAAACATTATTTAAATGTCACCAAGAAAGACAGAAAAAAGGAAAGAAAAACATTGCCATTTAAACTATGACACAATGCCTTCTTACATAGAATTTTTATTTTATCTTTATTTAAAGAGCTCTTTTAGACTTATTTAGACATAAATCAAATAACACATTTGGACATATATAAAAGGAAAAACAAAAGCAAAATAAGTTGTTAAGGTAGTTCTAAAACTTCTTCATGTTCAGAACATTTTCTGCAACAGTTTTTGACTCAGAGTTGTCAATATCCATGTTTTTTGAAACAATATTATCCTCCCTGCTATCAAGTATTTTGATGATGCTGTATTTCTTAAAACAGTGCTCAACTCTTATGTCTAGGATTTTCTTCAAAGACACTGACATCATTATGTAACTTTTGATGCTAGCAGTTTTTTGAGCCTTCCAAAGATATTGATGTAAAGTTTTCAGACAACAACCAGTGGTTATATCCCTTATTCAGATAGTCTTTAAATAGTTTGTCCAGAAATGAAATCAGTAACAATAACCAAGTTCACACATGCTCAGGCAATGACAATAACAATGATGTCGTGACTGACGCCTGGCTGACAGTGCTTAAAGGACACATCCTGATTTCAGAAAAGCGAAAATGTACTTCCTACAATGGAAGAAACATAGAGCCGTGGCAATCAAGGGGAACTTTTCCTTTTTCTTTTCTAGAACTTAACCAAAATTTGGTCATCAGCAAGAGTAATGCTGCTCAAGGTATTTGAGCAGTAAAAGTAAAACCTATCAGTCTCCATCCAACGGTGATTGTACAAACAGGCGTAACTTTCCAACTACTCTGTCGTTTGTTATAGTGTCGGCAAATTAATGCCTTTACATATTGAAACAGACACTATTATAAATTACTTTTCTCTTTTATGCCAGAGTCAAGTTTTTCCTCATTTTTCTGTATATATTTAACCAAATATTCCACATCCTAGCTTTTCTAGGAAGGAAGTGTTCCTCCAAAGCTTCTCAACACTATCTGGGAAATTACACTCACCATCTATCATTGGAGTCTTTCCTAACTTTCTCAGTTAGAGCACTAATTAATTACACTTGCGGACATCACAGTGGTGACTTTGGCACATATTCTAGGAATGGTCAAAAGCTGGCACTGTCTTCTGCATAAAAATACAAGGCATATTAGAGTAATAAAAGTTTCCACTTCAGGTCAAATTAAATTATTCCAGTTCCAAGATAGAGGATGATTTCATGGCAATTAGAAAGAAGTAGACCTTGTGGAAAATTCCATTATTTATTCTTTTATCTATATAGAAGTAATTTCAGCCATGCATCACAGGACCTATATCCATTTCTTGCAGAGAGAAATGAAGTAAGGCCTGGAATCATTACCTTGGCTTGTTCAGAAAGGACAGAATTGGAAATATAGCGTTGGTAGTCTGAGGCTTTGCTATGTAAACTCACCTAGATATGTAGGTCTTTCAGAGTTTGTCACACACTGTGACAAATGTAAATTACTTGTAAAACATAATTGTTTTTCCTGTGGTTTTCTATGCTTTTAGAGGCTTTGATGCAGATGTAGAAATTCATTCTGACTAGGACTTCATTTCTGCAGACAGTCGTGCGGTCCTCTGGTTTGCTGGTGGCAGATAGGGAGGAGAGCAGGGTGACAATCCATGTGCCCCTTACTTCTGCAAGCACCACCTTGCTGGCAGGAGAACTATTCTGTTCATTTGTTCCTTTGACATTCCAACAATCTATGCAACACTGTGCAAGGCAGTGTGCAAGGCACTAGGTAAAGGGTGGTAAACAAGACCACGACCTCGTCCTCCTAGACTTCAGTCTTCTCAGATCTATTGTGTGGTAGGTTTTGGCTTTCATTTTGTCTTTCAGTGTATTGCCTAAGTATATTTCCGGTCTTGATAACCAAAAAGAGATTCAAGGTATGATAATTCACAGCTGGGGCAGGACTTCAGAGAAAGCATTTGGCAAGATTGACGGGGCTGCTGCTAGGATAAACCTGAGGCACACAGATGTAACCAAACCACAACCCAAGGAGTACTCTTTTCTACTACTTCTGCAACAAATTACCACTACTTTAATAGCTTAAAACTACACAAAGGACCTTACAGTTCTGGAGGTTAGACATCATAAAATCAAGGCGTTGGCAGGGCTGCATTCCTTTGGAGGCTCTGTGGGAGAACCCGTTTCCTTACCTTTCCAGCTTCTAGAGGCTGCCTTTAGTCCTTGGATCTTGGGTCCTTCCTCCATCTTCAAAGCCAGCAGCATACCATCTTCACATCTCTCTTTTTCTCTCTCTTTCTCACCTCTACTTTGGTCATCACATCTTCTCAGACTGATACTCCTGCCTCCTTCTTATAAAAACCATTGTAATTACACAGGGTCCACCCCGATAATCCAGGATAATCTTCCCATCTCCAGATCCTTAACCTAAGCATATGCGCAGTCTCCTTTTTGCCATGTAAATAACATTCACAGGTTCTGAAGCTTAGAATGCAAACATCTTTGGGGCCACTATTCAGCCCACCACACAAAACAAAGCAAAGAGAAGAAAATTTTTGCCTCCTTTACACCTTGAGTCACCTAATTGCACGTTGGCATTCTGCAAGTTTGTTTTCTACAAGACCATCTTGGCTATCTATTGTAAACTGGCTCTTCTTCATAGAAATGTGTGTGGGGAGGTGCCCCCTACTGGTATTTCTCTGAAGCCTTGGAACTCTCTAACAAGAGTTTTCCTCGCAAGTCAACAAACTAAACCAACCAGACACTAGCATCCCTTTTAAATGAACTCTGTGAGCTGAATGTGATGAACAGATTCGAGCCAACCTTTCCTACCTCCTTGCAGAGCTAAATTCGTTAAAAGATTAATAGTTTATGTGGCTGGATATAGCTTTTCTTTTTCCTGCAGTGAGAGGCTATGGAGCAAGATTTAGCAAATCAACCCTGGCTTAATTCCTGCAGACATCATGTAGCAGAAGCTTCTCTTTGACGCAGATTAAAATTTTAGGTCTATCAAGGAATACACGCATCACTGTTGTGGTAAAGAGCCGTTGAGTAGCGCTTTCTCCAAGTCACGTTAGTGGCAAGAATTGGTATTTTCATGTCACTTCTACTTGAGACAAAGGAAACAATTTGCTATTCATCTTAATTAAAAATAAAGAGAAGATTTTGCTCCTGGCCATTATGGAGTAACAGGGAACAGATTTACCTTCCTGCCTAAAAAAATGCTGAAACCCAGAAAAACATCTTTTCAGACAAAGACAGCAGGCAGCGTAGTAGTGATGCCTACAATTAATTACCCCAGTTTACATGCTGGAGGCAGTTTCCAGATGCATCGCAGGGAAGGTCCTCACTGCCTTCAGTCTCCGAGTCCCAACTACATTTATTTACTGAGTCAAACGATGGCTCCACCAGATTAAATTCATAGAAGGAAAATCAAGACAACACCCTCGGACCGCGGGCGACCACGCAGCCAATCCCGGGAACAGCAAATTCTCGCGTTACGGTGAGATCTACAACCCTGACGTCACCCTCACGGAGACGCTCGCGAGACTAGAGGGTAGGTGGGGCGAGCCGCCGGTTGGCGCCGAGGGCGGCTTCTGTGAGGAAAGCCGACGTTAACCTCCTGCTGGCCTGGCTGCTCCCGACATGAGCGGCCTGGATGGGGCCGAGAGGCAGCCTCTCCCCGAGCCCCGCAGGCTCTCTGCTCCTGACGACGCCCCGGGAGACCCGGAGCCAGCCCTGTGCCCGAAGCTCCGAGGGGAAACCGAGGCGTCCCAGGTGATGGCGGAGACGGGTGAGGGAAGCGTGAAGGCCGCCGCGCTCTCACCGCCCCAGCTTCCAGAGGAGCTGGGAGCGCCCCCCGACCGCGCCGGCTGCGGCCAGACTCGCCGGCTCCGAGGAGGTGGGGACGGCAGTTGCGTGGCGACCGAAGCGGGGCGGGAAGAGGCCCCGCCTCCCACAGAGGGCCTGGCGGCGGCGGCGGCGGCGTCCGTAGCAACGGACTGCAGCCTGGAAAACGGCTGTGGGCGTGGAGAGCCGCGCGGCCCGGGCGGGGAGAAGGCCCTGGAAGCCTGTGGCGCAGAGAGCGCGGGGTCTGAGGTGATGGCGGAGGCGAGGGCCGAGGAAGTGAAGCCCGAGAAGCTCCCGGTCTTCTCCGTAGCAGTGGCGGAGGAGGAGGGAGTGGGGCAGGCGATGGAGGTGGGGGAGAATCCCGGGATTGAAGAGCCAGAAACGGTGGAAGGACGTGGAGCGGCCGGGCAGGTGCGGGAGGAGGCGGGGCCGCGCGCCCTGGACGTGGAGCTCCGCATGAACCCCCTGGAGGCCATCCAGCTGGAGCTGGACACTGTGAACGCTCAGGCTGACCGGGCCTTCCAGCAGCTGGAGCAGAAGTTCGGGCGCATGCGCCGACACTACCTGGAGCGGAGGAACTACATCATTCAGAATATCCCGGGCTTCTGGGTCACTGCCTTTCGGAACCACCCCCAGCTGTCGCCCATGATTAGGGGCCAGGATGCAGAGATGTTAAGATACATAACCAATTTGGAGGTGAAGGAGCTCAGACACCCTAGAACTGGCTGCAAGTTCAAGTTCTTCTTTCGAAGAAACCCCTACTTCAGGAACAAGCTGATTGTCAAGGAGTATGAGGTCAGAGCCTCTGGCCGGGTGGTGTCTCTCTCCACTCCAATCATATGGCGCCGGGGCCACGAACCCCAGTCCTTCATTCGCAGGAACCAAGACGTCGTCTGCAGTTTCTTCACGTGGTTTTCAGACCACAGCCTTCCGGAGTCTGACAGGATTGCGGAGATTATCAAAGAGGACTTGTGGCCAAATCCACTGCAGTACTACCTGATGCGTGAAGGAGCCCGTCGACCCAGACGTCGCCCAATAAGGGAGCCCGTGGAGATCCCCAGGCCCTTTGGGTTCCAGTCTGGTTAAACTTCGCCCTTGGGAATACTCCTGCACAAGGTCCCCTGCCGCCTCTTGCTGGACGTGTGCTTGGGCAGCAGAAATGGGTATGCCTTCTACTTTTTTTTTTTCCTGACATTTCTGCAAATTTTTTCCTCTGGACATTTGGTTCTTTCAGCCTCCAGATCGAGACCTTCATGGCCACGCTCCTCCACGTCCACATGGCCCTCATGCTGTTCTGTATGACTGTCACATGCTGCATGGCCATGATTCACGCCACTCCTGAGGCAACCAAATGATGCTGTTGATTGCACGCCTTTGTCTGCACTGGTTGGACCCTGTTTGTTCTCAGGGCTTTTGGTTTGGCTCTTACCACCTGTAGTTCTCGCTTTGTCTAGGAGCCCATTCTACCCACTTTGCTCAGGCATATAGCCTGTGGACAATTGCGGGGCATTAATGACAGCAAGGGAGAGCCGCAGTGGGCCATTTGGTCTTTGTGTCTTTGTGATTTATGTAACTGTAGTGCTCCTCTTGCACCTCTGGTCTGCTCTTCTTGTTGCCTGCTACCAACTATGCCTGACACCCCTCTACCCGCCTTTGTCTGCAACCTACTGGATGAACATCTTCCAGACCATTGTCAGCCCCAGTGTCTGGTTTCTGGTAAACAAGAATCTCCAGAACTGGCAGTGGACCCAGGTTCCTGCCAGCACTCAAAAGACTTCGATTCCTTACCTGCTCTTCCCTCCAAAAGCATCATCCAGGAACCCTACTGACTGTTAGGCGAGTGGTTGAGGTGACAAGTTGGACCTTGTCTTCATGGCAAGAGTTAGGATGGTGTCTATTCCAAGTACCAGGCTTCTCAGTCTCAACTAGTGAATTTACACAAAACCTAGGTAGCTCTTTGCGTCTCCTTTCTTCATCCTGAACATGAGTAAGTGCCAAGGTGGCAGTACACTTCCTGTCTCTCTCTCTCTCGCCTGTCTCTTAAAAAAAAAAAAGTGATAGCTCAGAAGCATCTGCAAAAGCAGACCTTTTAGTTTAATTTGGCTCTCCTCATTATTTCCAGGGACAGGAAAGTAGACTGCCAGAGCTCTTAATTCCCTCTGTTCTCTTCCCCACCCTCTCCTCCACCTTAGTAATACCTAGAGGGTTTAAAGGGAGGCAGTCTAGATGGAATGAAAAGTGTTGCCTAGTTGATAGTGGATGGAGGAACTGAAGAGATTGTTATGGTTGCTCTAGGCAGGGGAATCTGAACTAAAGACCGCAGGCAAAAATGAGCCAGGTAAAAATTGGGCCTAAAATTAAGACTGGCTGACTGGGAGCCTTCAAGGAAGAGGTTCTTTCTGTGTCAGTGGTGATAGCACAAGAAATACTTTACCTCAGGATTTCTATGGGAGAATCGAAAGAGATTGGAGTATTAAATAGGTTGCCTAGAGAAGAGTTCTTTAAAGAAACACAATGCAACTTTGGTTGCTTTCTCTCTTGTTTTTATTTAATTTATGCAGAAGATCAGTACTGTGTCCTTTATTTCACTAGTATTTATAAAATCCTTTTATTTTCTCTGTTTCTGCTTACTGGGAAAATTCAGCTGTACAGGCTTTCTTTTGCTTTCAATTGGGAACATTTGGAAAAATAGCAAGTTTATTTTCTTGTATGATATAAAGACTTGAATATTCATAATGGTTTTCAACTTGTTCTCCTTTCTGTTAAAACTATATCTTAGAAATATAATTTGAATAACTTGGTCTTGTTAGATTCTGAAGACTGTGGAAATTGTTGTCTTCATAGAAAAATAACCTACAAAAAATGTGTGGCTTTGTCTTAACTTGATAATTTGCCCCGGTAACACTTTAGTAATTGATGTGTCTCTTTTCCTAAATAGCATTAATACTTCGGAGATTGCTCTGTCAAATTGAAAGTGTACCATTGGCATATTTGTCTTTCTTTATATGCATGATAGTACAATAAAAGCATGTTACTCTGCTAGATTTCTTATTTTTCACTCTGCCCATAAACAAGCTTGACAAAATGGTTCAAGATAACAGATTATGGAATTATTAAAGTTCTTAAATGGATGCAACAGGCTTTATTCCAAAAGTAAGAAAATAGGCACACCACTGTACCTTCCAAGGTCAGGAGAGTGGTGGTTGTTTTGCTTTAAAATGTTAACAGTTGCAGCTGCTTACTCATGATGTCACTTTTCTCCATACAGTTCCTGCAGCACCACCTCCTTTCACTTTCTGAAAGCCTCCATTTCTGTCTCTGTAAATGATATTCTCAGGTCATTCAATCTCTTCTTTTTATTCACTTGTCCATTTAATAACCAAACATTCAGAGGGTTCCTATCATAAGTGATAACCTCACCCATCCCCATACTTTCTCAGGTGTAAAAACTTGTTCGTTCTTTTCTTCAAACCCCACCACTTTCTGTGTCAAATCTTTCAAGGCCTTTCATAGATAACTCTTCTGCCATATAGTTTTTCTCTTCTCCTTTGGGAAGATAAAATGTTTCTTCAGGTACTTGGTGTACTTTGTAGGGACCTATGTTCTAGAAAAGAATACATAATTCATTATAGTGAATTCCACAAATATTTATTAAGGCATTTTGTCAGGCCCTGGGAAGATAAGTATAAGAAGATAAAGTCCTTTATTGTTAAAGATTTGGGGAAAGACTGATATGCAAACAAGTAATTAACAGAGTGATACAGTAAAATAAAATACAAAGATAAATTTTCACATTTTTCACTCTTTCCTTTCTAGTTTGGAAGTTTTGTGAAAACAGAGATGGGGTGTCTTATATCCCTCACTGGATCTAGCATAATGTTTTGCGCAAAATTGTCACCAGATAAATATTTATTGAATGGCAAAATGAATGGCTCAAATGGAGAAAAAGAACAAAATAATCTAGTACCCAGAAAGACTTTTGATGAAGTAGTGGAAGGAAGAAAATGGTTTTCAAGGCATTTGTAAAACTGATGTCAAAAATTTGCAAAGCCTTTCTTAAAAGCAAATTTCTTATTTAAGTAATTAGAAAAGGTTCAAACACTATATCATTTAACCTTTCATTTGCCATTTTAACAGAACATTACTTTGGATCAACTTTTATTTGCTTTGCTTTTGTACATTTTAAGGTGACTATTACACTAGAGGTAGAAGAGGGTTGGACTCTAGACATGTGCTGTCCAATACAGTAGGCCACTAGCCACCAGTGGCTATTGAGCCACTTGAAATGTAGCTAGTCCAAACTGAGATCTGCTGTAAGTATAAAATAAACCCTGGATTTCAAAGACTTTGTATGGAAAAAAGAATGTAAAATATCAATTTTTTGTATTGATTGCATATTGAAATAACATTTTTCATATATTGAGTTAAATAAAATGTAATAAAATTAATTTCCCCTATTTATCCATTATTTTAATGTGGCTACTGGTAAATTTTAAATTACATAGGACAGCACGGTTCTAGACTTGATGAATATCTCCAAGCATATAGAATACCTGTAAAAATTAAGCATGTTATTACTTTCTCCCCATGAAATTTGTTGTGACTTTAGGACTTGGGTTATTTAGCTAAAATTCAAGATGGCTAAAGTATAGCTAGAGGCCAATGGGTAAAAGGGTAAAATGTAATGTCTTCAATCAACTTGTTCTCAAGTACCCAAGATATACTCAGTACTTTGCAAAACGTACTGTGTAAAAACTATGTTTCCAGAAAGAAGTAGGTTAGATCTGGGTGCCAAGTTGGCACTCCTAGTTAAATTGATTATTTAAAGTAGTCTCTAACATTTAGGACCTATAGCTTCATATTTTTCTCAAATGTTCTGTATTTTTTGGTTTACAGACGTACATGAACCTCAAAAAGTAAAATAATTTCAGTTATTAAATATACCATTTTGTGTATGTTACTTGGGCTCCAAATTATTTTTTTTTAAAGATTTTATTTATTGTCTTTTTCTCCTCAAAGCCCCCCAGTACATAGTTGTATATTCTTTATTGTGGGTCCTTCTGGTTGTGGCATGTGGGATGCCGCCTCAGCGTGGCTTGATGAGCAGTGCCATGTCCGCGCCCAGGAGTCGAACCAACGAAACACTGGGCCGCCCGCGGCGGAGTGCGAGAACTCAACCACTCGGCCACGGGGCCAGCCCCTTGGGCTCCAAATTTTAACAGTTGGCCAGCAACAGGAAAAGAAACCTTGAATCTACCATTGCATCAAGTCAATTCAATGCTTACCACTTGAAGAAGCATATTTTATTTTTGAAAATTAGTGTAGTTTTTGCTGCAAGATTCAGCAAAAAAAATTATTTTGTATTGGATACTATATTAAGGATTATATGAGACAGTGAAGTAAAGGTTGTCCTTGCACTTGAGGAACTCTATCTCCTGAGGGGATGCCATTCCTTGAGTATTTCCTCTTCAGCAAATCCATGTACTTAAAACCAGTCACACACACAAGAAAACTCAGGAGATTAATGTGGGCAAGAGGAGTTGTCAGAGATGGTCAGGACCATCCCCTCAGGGCCAACTTCCTCTCCCTCAGTGTTAGTTGAAGATGTAGACTGTGTAGAAGTGACAGATGTAAACTTTATCCGTTCTTTAGTGTGGGAGGTGTTGGACTTGTGAGCAGTTCTTATCTGTTTGCTTGAAGTGCTTTGTTTCAGCTCCGAAGGGCCTCTGCTTCATCAGTGGACCACATCCTCAACAAATGTGTGCTGAAACCAAGCCCTCAATAAGAAGACCTATATTTACTGAATTTTGTAGAGCAGTACATGAATCTCAAGTAAATTTAAGTTTCTAGATATGTAGTCAATTTGGGGCAGTGTTGGGTCTATCTAGAACTGTATGAAATAACCCACTAGCACTGATAACTATTCACAATGTGTGCTTCCCACTTACCTCCTATAGTCTCTAATTATAGAATGATCTTTTAAATTTGAGTATTTTTATTACCTTGATGGAAATTGATCAATTAGGTCTTTAACTATGCACTTTTGTAGTTTAAATATTTTTTCTATTTTTGATGACTGATAAAAATAAGCCATAGGGCTGGCCCGGTAGTGTAGTGGTTAAGTTTGTGCACTTTGCTTCAGTGGCCTAAGGTTCGCAGGTTCAGATGCCCAGCATGGACCTGCACACTACTCATCAAGTCATGCTCTGATGGCATCCCATGTATAAAATAGAGGAAGATTTGGCACAGATGTTAGCTCAGGGACAATCTTCCTGAAGCAAAAAGAGGAAGATTGGCAATACATGTTAGCTCAGGGCCAATTTTCCTCACCAAAAAAAAATCTATATAACATTTTTAATATTTTTCCAACTTTTTATTTTGAAAATTTCAAACCCACAGAAGTTGAAATCATAATATTAAAATATTAATATTGCCTTCCAAAAAAAAACCAAAGAGTAATCAGTAGAGGTAAACAAAAGTCGCTAGTAAGTCATTGCCCTTTCTTACAAGGGAATTTGAAAGACAAAGTACATCTGCTATCATGGGTTGCATCTAGGAGGAACTGGCACACTTTTCTAACCCCTCAGCCTGGAGGGGCCATCTTTCCCTAAAGAGGTGCCAAGTGTGCTTGCTGATGCCCTGGGACAAAGTTAAAATATATATATATATATATATATATATATTCACGTACACTAAATAATAGGTGGATCCATACTTGATGGAAAGATCATATTATAACATGCTGGGTCATTCTGAAAGGAAGTTTCCTGGGAGTGCGAACTTCAACAATGGGCTGGCTGCAGACCAGATTTGCAAATTACTTGAAACTAGGGAGTAAAATTACTCATTAGAAATAATGGTCCTGGGGCCGGCCGGGTGGCGCAGCGGTTAAGTGTGCACGATCCGCTTCTTTGCGGCCTGGGGTTCGCCGGTTCGGATCTCGGGTGTGGACATGGCACTGCTTGGCACGCCATGCTGTGGCAGGCGTCCCACATAGAAAGTAGAGGAAGATGGGCATGGATGTTAGCTCAGGGCCAGGCTTCCTCAGCAAAAAGAGGAGGACTGGCAGTAGTTAGCTCAGGGCTAATCTTCCTCAAAGATAATAATAATAATAATGGTCCTCCAAATGGGAATAGGTTAAAAGAATTAGCCTAACTGAACAGAATAAAAATTAATAGAGATACTTGTAAAGTGTTGGACACAAACTTCAGTAAACTGTAAGATGGAGAAGCCTAACTTAGTAGCACATTAATACTTTAAGGGTTTGGCAAATTATTAGGAGTGAAAGAGCAATATTGCTGCCCCAAAAGCTAACGTTCTCCCAGGATCCATCTAAAGTAGTATACTATTTATAATAAAGACAGTAAAAATACCTTTCTATTCTGTCATTTGGATGTTATTTTGTTCAGACTTTAGGAAGAATGCTGGCATAATGAATCTTGTTTAATTAGCATACAGAATGGATGAGGAACATGGAATTGATCTCTTGCTAGGGTGGTAGGAGAGTTGAGGGGAAGGATATAATGATGATCTTCCAGTACTTAAAGAGCTCTTTTGTGGAATCAGGCTAATTCCATTCTGCAAGACTACAGAGTCAAAATGTGGAGCAGATGTGCTGGGAGCCTGTACTACATGCCAGGCCCTTTGCAATAGCTGGATGTTATAAGGTGGTAGATTTCTGAGTAAATTTAACAAAACTGGGAAGGGAGTGGATATTCCCTCACTTGAGTTCAAGGAAAGGTTATCTGTGATTTCCCAATCTGTCTGCACCTTAGGGTCTAATTTAATTGGTTTGTGATAGAGCTTTGACATCAGGATTTTTTCAAAGCTCCCCAGCTATTTAAAATGGGCACTATTAATGCAATCAAGAAAATGCAAATGGACTCAAACTGTATATATATACTGACTAGAAAGCAAGTGGAGAAAGCACTCATTTTCCAGTACTAAACTGCTCTGAACTCTGGAACCAGAGTTTGAAGCTTGAAGAAATGAAAACTTAGAAATGAAGTCACTACCTCAGAAGACATTCACGGGCTTATGTGTA